TAGTTTATAATATAAAAGCAGTTGTTTAATCAAATTTTTCATATGTTATTCAGTTTTCATAAGATTTAGAATCTACAAAACGTGACAATATCAAAATCGATCAAAGCGCTCAAATTTCTCCTCCACCAGCAGAAATATCTGTTTCTATAAACACAAATAGAAAAAAAATACACCCTAAATATTTGTCCCGACGCGCCGGAGAAGTGTCGTGTTGCTGCCGTCGATCGAAAGGTGTTATGTTTGTCCTTTATCGGCGGAGACAATCGCACGAAAACTAGCCAGGTCGACACAATATATATGCAGCAAAAAATAACCTTAGACTGGAAGCTTAGACACATCTCCTTATCGCTCCTGTTGTGTAGATTTTTTATGCTTTGTTTCGACTAATCTGCTCTGATGCTGCAGACAGACACATTTTGGCCATCACGGTTGCACCACCGTGGATGCAGGGGCAGCTTAAAATTGGAGAGATCGCGTCGGGGAAGCAAACATTGACAGCGGGTGCCCCTGCAGGATTTTGCCGCCCATAGTGCTTTTAAAACGTCCACCCTTGTTTTTTGTCACCTCATAAAATATTTATAATTTGTTAGTGGATATAGTGTGTGGGGTTTCATATGGTAGAATTTGTTTTTTAATGTTCCTCATTTTTTTAAACCATTTATTAATTACAAATTGTCGTCAATTTTTGCTCAATGAACTGAGTGCAGTTTTCCAAATAAATTGACAATTAGTTCTAATTATTTTTTTTAATGGGACCCACTTTTGGCATGGGGTCGGCGGATCTTGTTGAAAATTGGTAGTTTGGTTGCCCTTAGGGTGTAGACAAATAGTTTAGAAGGATTTTTGAAAATTCTCAAAATTGCCTATTTTACAGGGGCTCAAAGTTGGGGATTTAAAAAAAAGGTGTTTTCGAAAACCACAAATATCTCAGCTCCTGCTGCAGATAGCGCATGTGTGTATATAAACAAAGTTGTAGAAAATTAGACGCCCTACAACTTTGCCATATAGACCAAGGTCATAGGTCAAAGTTCAGGGTCAACTTTTTAAGCTTGAATTTTTTGATGCGCCACCAAAGTACCTAGTACATAAAAATTTTTGATTCCATTATAGCCAAAAGTTGCTCTAGTTGGTAGTCAACAACATATTAAAAATTGGCGAGACTGTTTTTTTCCGTTTTCGAGATATTTTAGGTCAAAAGGAGAAAAACGTGGTTTTCCGAGCATTTTCCTACACAAATCAACATTTAACCGCCTGTAACTTTTTCCCTGCTAAAGTTACGCAAAAATGTATAATAACAAAAAATGATTGCCTTGACCTGTTCTTTCAAACCATGTATCGCACATAGTGACCAGGTCACAAAAGGTCATTGACCTCGGTGACCTGTGACCTTTCCAAAAATATTTGCTGGAATGTTTCACCTCAATGAAAAGAAACATAAGAGTATCTGAAATTATGTTTTGCACTTGCAAGGTCACAGGTCACCGAGGTCAATGACCTTTTGTGACCTGGTCACTATGTGCGATACATGGTTTGAAAGAACAGGTCAAGGCAATCATTTTTGTTATTATACATTTTTGCGTAACTTAAGCAGGGAAAAAGTTACGGGCGGTTAAATGTTGATTTGTGTAGGAAAATGCTCGGAAAACCACGTTTTTCTGCTTTTGACCTAATATATCTCGAAAACGGAAAAAAACAGTCTCGCCAAATTTTAATATGTTGTTGACTACCAACTAGAGCAACTTTTGGCTATAATGGAATCAAAAATTTTTATGTACTAGGTACTTTGGTGACGCATCAAAAAATTCAAGCTTAAAAAGTTGACCCTGAACTTTGACCTATGACCTTGGTCTATATGGCAAAGTTGTAGGGCGTCTAATTTTCTACAACTTTGTTTATATACACACATGCGCTATCTGCAGCAGGAGCTGAGATATTTGTGGTTTTCGAAAACACCTTTTTTTTAAATCCCCAACTTTGAGCCCCTGTAAAATAGGCAATTTTGAGAATTTTCAAAAATCCTTCTAAACTATTTGTCTACACCCTAAGGGCAACCAAACTACCAATTTTCAACAAGATCCGCCGACCCCATGCCAAAAGTGGGTCCCATTAAAAAAAATAATGCCAGAAATTCACAAAAACTATTATTAAATATTATTATATTTCTTTATTAACATTTATTCTGAAGAAGTTTGATAAATTGTTAGTTGTATTACATTGTCACGTAATTCCATAAAAATAATAAATTAAATAAAGAATTAAATTAAAAATTTACTGTAAATTGTTGGTACTAAAAGGAGTTTAAAATAAAATAAAAACAAAAAAATTAAATAATATATTATTTATAATAGTAATTAAACTGCTTTCAAAAAAATTTTTTTTTGGATTGTTGCATGCTAGTGAGAGTCTGGTGAGAGTGTGATTTTTTCTTTTTTTATTAGTGTAGAGTATCTTTGTTATAATGTTGTAATAATAATGTAAACCAGTTGTTTAGGTTTTTTTTTTGTTTTAGAGGTTTTTACGTGTTTTTTTTTAAACTGCGAGAATAGAATACAAAAATATTAAATTTTAATTGAGAAATTAATTTTTAATGACTCAAAAAAATTATTAAAAACCTACAAAAATCCAGAAAATTAAGGCGAAATTTTGATCCAGGCCAGTTATGTTGATTTGTTTGCCTTGATTTTCCAGGTTTTAATTACCTTTTTGAGTCATTAAAAATTAATTTCATTCAAGCTTTCATTATTGCCAAGTTTTCTCACACAATTTCAATAAAACCACCTTATCAAAATTTAAGTTATTATCTTCAAATTAAAATTTAATTTTTGCGCAATTGAAAGATAAAATTTAGGAAGTCTCAATTGTATCATCGTGTGTTGTAACTGATAATTTACTTGCAATTTAATTTCAATGGCATTAGGCCAAGAACATACCGCACAAAGCGTCTAATCCGTTTCTATACTCGGCATAATGAGACGACACAAAGCTCATTGTGCGCTAATTTGTTTGATATCCGGTCGGTGTGTTGCTCAGCTGCATACTCTGTTTGCTCGAATGCGACAAAACATGAACTAAATAGGGCTGCACGTGAGAATGGACGCGAATCGCTTTGTGGATGCTCAGGAAGTTGGCACAAGAAGCAGTTTGATGCTCGAATAAAGTTATTCACTTCTTTTTTGATACTTTTTTGAGTAAATAACAAGTATAAATATACACAAACGTGGGGGAAGAATCAAATGTTGCCGGGTGCGTTCTGTGAATGAATCATTTATTCGATCTGGTAAATATATAAAAAAAATATACGCATCTCTCAGATGGAAGGAGAGAAAATGAATTATGGTCTTCTTTTGGCTCCTCTTAACTCCCGAGACCTTTCCCGAATTTATATTTTTGTGTCGTGGTGCAGATACACGGTTGATAAATGCTCTGAAAAGCGGCGGATGTATAAAAGCACACGCACGTTTGAAAGGCCTTTCTTTCTCTATATGCGCACTTTCGAACGCACTAGGAGAAGAGCTTAAGCTCCCAATTAAAAAGCCCTTTGATAATGGAGTCTCTCTTCGCTGCTCTGACAAAGATGATTCACCTTTTGATCTATCGCGACGTCAGCTTTAATTGAGCAGCAAAAACAGGTCCAATATAATGAAATCTAAAACGTTTTTGATTTTACTTTTAAGTGTTTAAATATTTAGAGGAAAAAATAGTTTTAAATGCGTGGTTACAAGAAATAGTTATTCTCAAAAATAAGATTTGTTTCAAATCGAAAGCGATTTTGAAAATATTTTTATATTTTATCTCAATGTTATCTTAGAAAATCACACATCACTAATAATAAAAATACGAACAAATTATAACAGCCATTTCTTTATTTAAGTTGTAAAGTTTTAGTTGTCTTAATAATCATATGAATTTTTCTCTTTAAAATTGGTCCAAGCATCATTTTTTTTTTTTTCAAATCTGCGTTTATGTTGAAAAATAATAAATATTTTGGAGGTAAACTTATTCTATATGCAACAAGCTGAACTCCGGAGCTGTCCAGGTTGCTGTAAAAAATTAAAATTTTAAAATGACAATATTTTGCTTTCCTTCATTTCCAGTGAAGTAAAAAAACACATTATATTATTTTTATCTTAAGAAATTTAGAAATTTGCAAAAACAATCACATTATCCAGATCAGCAACTTTCCGCACTGCATCAAGAGATTAATTAAAAGACCCCTTTCGAGTTCGGTGGAGCGCGGCGCCTCACGTCAGCGCCAAATAATGGGTTTTGATTTGCGCGTCAACTTTTGCGAACTGTGCCGTTCCGAAATTGGATTCATTATCGGGCCATCAGCAGAAGTGCACTCGCGGAAGGGAGAAACGCAGTAGCTCGGATAAACTGTCTTTGCGCAAATAGACAGGCCCATCAGCCAGAGATAAAATAGATGCACTTGACGAGTGGGTGTATCGAATTACTCAATTTGCACAGCGGCGCCCCTTTTTGTTCCCCCTGCGCTCTCGGGAAAAAAACATAAAGGCTCATTTGGTTTTTAAATTTCAAACAATTACAATAGTTTCTTTTAATTAATAATTTTAACAATTTTACATTTTTGAGCTAAATTAAGTAGCTTGAAATTATTTTATTTTTTATATAACAATTCAATTATAAAAATTTTTAATTTGAAATCAATATATTTTTTTATTTCCTCTGGATTTTAAGATCAGGAAAACATTGTTTGTACATTTGAAACTAAAATTAATTTTAATTCAAATTTTTTGGTAACTCTTTTTATTGTGAGCGATTTTAAAAATAGGCTTTCACTTTTTTTGTAAATTTTAATATTATAATAATTTGGCTTCAGTAATATTTTTAGTCCCAGGCAGCCAACTCGGACACCCATGAAGAGGAGGAAATCATCTGAAAGTATTTAATCACCGCAGATTAGAGTCAGCAAGACCGGCGGTTGATAATGGTCCTGGGATACGCAAATGAAACAAAACTGGTCACTTTTCAGAGTAATATTTTCTTTTATTTTTAATATTTGCTGATATAGATTTCAATGCACGAAATTCTGCTGACTTTGCGATAAGAGAGAAAGTTGTTGTGGGTACATTATTTACAGAAAAAAAACGTATGAATACGATGCTTTTTTTCTTCCAAAAACGACAACACATTTTACAATCAAGTGAAGAAGGAGAAGAAGTGCTGCAGAAGCTGCAAAATCGGCTGAGCAATCGTGAGGAGACGCAATTTGGTCTCTTTACAGTCTGCGTCCCTCTCTATTCTGCATTATTTTCAGAGTGAGTTCGAATTTCTCTTCCACACGCACACACTTAAAAGTACGAGAATCGCATCGAGTTTTAGTTCAATAATTTTACTTTACAAAGCGCGCACCTCAATAATCAAAACATTCTGTGTAACGAACAAAAATCAGTCAATCGTCAGAAATTTCAAACCTAGCAAAAATTACAAAACTTTCTAATTTAAATAATAAGCCATCATTTATTTTTTGATCAGCTGAAAGTATATTTTAAACAAAAATTGATTAAAATTTCAGGCAATTTGTTTGTTTCTAATAAAAATTTGAAATTAAATAAATTAATTAAGGGAATTTTTTTATTTTCCGTGTAAAATGTTTTGGTTTTTTTTCAGAATGTGGGGAATTTAACAAAAGAAAATATAAATTTTCAATTTTTAAGTCGCATAATGAAAAATTATCAAAATCTTTAATTACTGTTCGGGTTTTTATCTCTTGGAAAGAATAAAGTGTGATCCAAATTAAATTTCGATAAAGATTCCAGTTTTGCTGCTTATTTTTTAAGTTTTCCCAAAATGTATTTAAAAAATTTAGATCCAATTAAATTTTAGAAAAGACAAGAAAAAAACCTGAAATTTCTCATATATTTTTTGAATTTCCTAATCCCTTTCAAATTTTGCCCAACTTAAAATACACATGTTCTATATTTTTTTAGTGCTGTGACCTATGAAATTTGTGGAGGTGCGCGCGAAAATGTACAGAAGGCACTGGTTTCGCCCCGGTCGAGGACTTAGAGGACCATTCCGCTCGAGTAGTCCGAGACCATGCACTCGCTCTTGGGCTGCTGCTGGTGGTGGCCGTAGCCCATTTGGTGGTGGTGCACGGCCATGTTGAGGTGGTGGCCGTGGCCCGAGAAGTAGCTTGTCTGGCCGCTGGCCGGCTGGTAGTATTCCATGCTGCCGTAGTAGCCGCTGCCGGGGGCCGTCTGCTGGTAGTACGTCCGGTGGTTTTGGTTGTTCTGGTTCCAGAAGGTCGAGAAGTTCGAGTACGACTCGGCGCCGACGGTCGGCGTCGCCGGCGACGCGTAAGTGGGCGTCGTCGGCGTCGGCGGACTCGAGCTGTCCGAGCCGGGACCGCGGAGGGACACTTTCGAGCCGGACACCAGGTGGAGGGGAGGGGGACTCGGGTGCTGCGACGGCTGCGGATGTGACGATCCTGACGGCACTGGCGACTTGGATTGACTGAAATTCAAAGAAAAAAAGAGAGAGAAACTTGATTAGTTGCAATTTTATTGATTGGTTTAATAAAAAAAATATCAAATTTTTAATGAACAAATGATTCTATTTAAGAAAAATATTGTTCTATCACTTTTTTTTTCGAGATGGACTGAAATTAAGAGAAAGAAAACAGTACAATTCTTAAATTGAAATTATTGATAGGTAGGAAAATTTTTTATAAAAACTAAATTAAGAGATTAAGGAGATTTATTTCAATAACATTGAAACCTTTTTTTATCAAAATATGTATTTAAATAAATCAAATATTTGAGCTAAACTATTCTTTTTAACAAAAGAGTTTTCAATTCGATAATGAAAATCCAAATTGATTTCCATTTTAATTCTTAGTTTTCAGAAATATGCTTCCGAAATAAAAAAAAACCTTTTACAAAACTTCAATCCAAAATGAAAAACTTTCGCAAACAAAAATTTTCAATCTCTTTAAAAAAAAGTAAATTTTAGAGTTTCATTATTTATAATGAAACTCTACAATGCAAATGAAGAGATATTGTTGTACTTACTTTGTGCTTGTGTTTGTGTTGTTAGCGGGACGGCGCGAGGTCGAGCGGGCTTTGGCGGACGGAGGAGAGGAGCAGAGAGGGCCGCTCGAGTTCTGCTGTTGTTGCAGCTGCTGTCTGCACTTGGCCCGTCGGTTTTTAAACCAAACCTGCGAACCAAACCAAGAAATTTGCTTACTTATTGAAACTGCACGAATTCTGAGTAGATTTTAGAACAATTTTAAATAAATTGATTACACTTCATAAATAAAAACTCATTTCCTACTTAAAAATAACAAAACATAAATTAAAATTATTTTTATAAATTTATTTCCCAATCAGCGGAAAAATAGAGTATGCAAAAAAGCAAGGAGCATGAAAAGTTTTATTAAGATGTTACAAATTTTGAAATTAAATGACTTAAGTTTTAAAATTATTATATATGCTTTTTTTAATACATTTTTCTTCATTAAAAAATAAAATGTAAAAGATTTCAATACTTTAATAATTTTTGCTTAATTATACTGCTTTAATATCTATAATTAAGATTTTATCATTTTAATCGTGTAAATTCTTTGACATTCAAACTTAAAAAAAGTATAAATACAGCAACACTTCATTATGGCGAGTTTATCTTTATGTAGAAAATGCAATTCTTAATGTTGATTGGTTATTTTTGTATAGATTAATATCCTTCAAATCGCATAATTACAGCAAAAGCAAATCAATAATAAAAAAATTAAAAAGAAAAAGCACCAGGCTCAATGCATTAAAAACCTGCACACGAGCCAATGTGATTTTATTATGTACACATTTCTTTGCCACTTCTTTAAAATGAGCAACTCTCTGATAATTTAGCTTATAAATAATTTCGGTGCAGCTGCCGAGGCCGAATTGAAAACGGTCAGCTGAAAAAGTGCAAAATCGAGCCCGCGGCGCATTTGGACGCGCGGCAAAGAGAGCAAACAAAAATAAATATGCCACTCAAATGCGCATTTAATAACAGGCTCGGGGCGACAGTTTATTTCGTTATTGTTGACATCTGATATGGACACCTCTGAGTGAGCAACGAACGGCGGATCTGAAATAGGAGGCGTGCATTCGGACCAGCCCCCGCCATTAAACGGTGCATTCAACGTGCAATAGGGGTTGACGCGCCGCATATGGAATAAATATAGGTGTCAATGAGATGGAAACCTTTCTTTCTTCTCTCGTTTTTTACCCCGCACCACTCTTTTCCTTTTATTCTCCGAGCGCAAGGGGAGATCGTGAAAGAAACTGACAAAAGCGTCCGGCGTCAATGAGGTAATTTTTCGTCCCTGCGTTTAAATAGAGAGCGATGATTAATCAGCAGTTGCGTTTTTATTTTTCACACCTCCTCTCTGCGATGCTTCCCAGGCTTATCGCTTACATTTTGTCACTCGTGCCGACGAGAGCAGAAAGGAAAAAAATGAAGCGTGAAATAAAAGTGCGATTTTTCACGGTGCGAAGCCAATGGAGATGCGCGGCTCAGCCTGCATTTTATTGCGGTGCCAAAGGGGTGACTTTGGATTCACGAGTTGCAGCGGCGGTCGGATTTAACGACATTTTTTTTATCATCATCGACTTGAATTGCAGCCAATGGAGATAAAGTCAATTTGATCCGCTTTTCAATTTTAGATACGGACAAAAATGGAAGAAATTGCCGAATAATTTTCAGTTTTAATCAAAATACTTTATTCTTTGTATATTAATTATTTTAAATATGATAATTTTTTTTAAATGATTAGACTTTAAATAACTAATAAATTTTAAGATTTATATACCTTTGCACTTGACACACTGGATGTTAATTTATCATTTTTAATTTCTATGGCGTTGCAATTTGTGCCGGATAATCAGTTTAATTTTCAGAAGTACAAGTTGATGGCTTATTTTAATAAATTACTATTTTTACTGATTTTATGACCATTTTATAATTTATTTGATTTAATTTTTTTTTTCATTGACGGTGCTTTTGCACGATAATTTTACTTATACGAAGGCACTTAAGTCGTCTTGGATATAAAAAGCCACGCCTGTCTCGGGAGCGAGTTAAAGAGCTCATTATCCAATTCGCGAGTCGTCAAAGTGCGGCAAATCGGCGGCTCTCCATTCACGCGGCGCGAACTTGATGTAAATCCGCTCGGCAAATCTGCTCGTAAAGCCGCGTGCCCTGTTATCGTGGCGGATCAATGGCGTGCGAGGGAATTTGCAAGAAAAACGCAAATCATCCTCCTCCGTAATCCTCCACAAAGAAACAATTCATCGCGCCAAATAAAACCGAATATTTTTTCCGATTGAAATATATATAAAAAAATATTTTCCTTCCACAAGTCTCGAAAGTAGGGGTTGTGACGCCGCGTGTGTGCTAATGAAGTGGTTGCCTGCTACAAGGATCATCCATTAACACCCCGAGAGCCACCCCTCTCACTCTATATCTATTATCTGGGGGCTGCACCAAGAATTTATTCTCTGCAGCATCGCACCCCGTAATTTATTTTATGGACGGATACATTTTCACCACTCGCAGCAGCCATTGTTTGCTTTATCGCACCCACCGAGAGTGTCAACAAATGAGTGGAGAAAGTCGCTGGGGTGCCAACGAAAACACAAATTTGATTTCATGCCCAGCACCCCCGGTAGGAGAAATAATCACAGTTTGGCGATTTCACGCGTGAGATTTCCGATCACATTCAAATTTAAATAGTTTATTCTGTTAGAAAGAGAAATATTATAAAAAAAAAAATGTATTATAAAATTGCTAAATTTTCGTATTTTTAATCAAAAATGTTTTGGCACTTTTAATAAATTTAAATAATTTTTATTTTTTTTTATTTTATTGTAATTTTATAGCTTTAAAAATAATTTATTTTGAATGAAAACAAAAATAACACATTAAAATTGGTTTTCTCTAACTATGCAATGTATAAATAAATTTGCTCGATCAATAAGGAATTTAGCCTTAGTAATTTCTTTTAATGAAAAATTTTCTCCATCTTAGCTCTTGATCCCTCTTTTATAATCATTATAACGATTTATGCAAGAATTATTAAATTTGCTAATATATTATTAATTTTCATAAAAAAATAATGGATTTAAGTACTTAAAAACGTTGAATTTTTATAATTTTCGGATTTCAAATTAACCCTCAAAGGACTCATTGGGTTAATCCCTTTCCGAGGGAGCGCGACGACGTCCGTTTGTGTGCATTAATATAATTTTATCAGTCTGCACCGATGGACGGCGGCGATAAACCTTAGCGAGCAATAAGTGGGCGAAATTAAATCATCACGCAGGCAGGGGTCACGCGCGGGGTTGATTTAGTTGCGGCGGGTGCGGAAGGCGAGATACGGGGCCGATTATTGGTCTCGGCTGCACTATCAGCCCTTTCCATACACGGGGCGTGAATTCGTATTTCGGCGACTATATATGATGTATAGAAATATCCATTCTGCAGAGCGAAACGCTCCCCCCGTGCAATATTTCATGCAGTCGAATTGAGACCCCCTCTCTGCAAATGCAGCCGTTTCGGTTTTGCGGCGCAGCGTGATTCAATTTATTTATTATCCTCTCTTTTCTGCTCTCTCATAATTTGCCTTTATCGCTGAACAGAAGCGCCTTTGATCTGTTTGATTCTCTTAAACGAGTTTCGGATTATGCAAGATTCAAATTAATGAAAACAATCTGCCGGGCTGATTTCAAATCTGATATTGGAAAATCGAGTTTGGCAGAAATTTGATGACGACAACGTGATTTGAAGGAGAGAATTCAATTTTTTACAAAGAGTTGATTGGGAAATAAAAATTGCTGAGGAGTGAAATTGGCAAAAAAGAAAAGGAGAGGAGATAACAAAAGAATGTTAAAGAAATTCAAAATATGAGAGGAAGTTAAATTCATTAAAAGAGAAATTGGTTGTAAGCAATTTCACCATTTTTTGTACCAATTCTTGTTTAATTAGTCTCACAAAAATTATTCTCGTTTGCATCAAAAAATCAATTATGTTAAAAGTTATATTCTCGGATTGCTAATAATCTTCAAAATGATTAAAAGTGTAATATTTTCAAAAAGATTTTAAAGTGAATTCATAAATTTTCAATTGAAATGAAATCAAAGAAGGAAATTAAAAAAAAAAAATACTTTTTGCAATACATTTCAAGCTTATTCATCAATTTAAAGGGTTGGTTATTGTTAATAATGTTTAATGTTACATTAATTTAAAAACGTTACTTCCAAAAAACAGTAAAATTAAATAAGTGTTTTCCTTTAAATGCGTCTAATAATTTACAAAATCAGTTGTGCAACAAATTTATTTAAAAAAAAAAATCAAAATTATTAGAATAACTTCAAATTTGAATTTTGCATTGCAATTAAAGCAATTTCACTAACTTTTTTACAGGTAATGAATTCCTATACGAGTTTTTAATCAATAAAATTGATGGTATTCTGTAATTGACGCAACTTTCAGATTCATTGTTAAGCAAAACTAATAAAACTATTTCATTGATAGTATTTGAAACTAAAATATTATATTTACCTGGACTCTGGATTCGGGTAGGCTGATTTTCAGGGCCACTTCCTCGCGCATGAAGATGTCAGGGTACCGCGTTTTGGCGAACAGCGATTCCAACACGTCCAGCTGCGCCCTGGAAAAGGTGGTGCGTTCCCTTCGTTGTTTCCTGGGATTGCCTGCGAACACCGAAGTTTGCGTTAATTTTTAGCAAAGCGCTATTTTTTTCATGATAATATGAGCAGAGGAGCAGCAGGTAGATCATTCTCCGGAAAGGTAAATACGGTAATGCCGAATTATCACTTGGTAAGCGGCTTTCTTTATTGACACATGCTGAGCTTCAGTTAAGTTCAACCAACAACGAGAGCGGCGGCGGCGGTTCAAGGATTATCTCTCTCGCGCGCGCGCTCCCGCGGAATTGACTATTTTGATTCATTCAATTTACTCATTCTCGACCCGCGCGCCAAGAGCCATTGACTCTTGATTATTGGGCCCATTTGGCCCATTTCATACTCTTTAAGCTTCTTTTGATAACCGAACAGAAACGGAGAGAGATTGAGTTGTTATTTAGCTTTTGTATCGGAATTAAGAGAGAATTTTGTACTTCTTGTTAGATGTGGGGTCTATTTTATTGTTAAATATGCAGCAAATACAAAAACTTAATTTATTTTCCAAATTATTTTAATTTCTTTCGTTACCGACAACAATAAGTATTTTTTTCCACCAAAATAAGCGACTAATTTTATTTTTTAAATGGAATTAAGGTCAAATGACCTAAAAATTTTATAAAAAAATTTAATGGGGCGTATTGTTTTCGAATTAGAAACAATTTGTCATCAAAGTAAAAGTTCTTTTTTTCACTGCCTTCAATAATTATGGATAATTTTTTTTTTAACCAGTATTTTTTTACAAAAATAAATCATTTTTTGTCAATTTATTTTATTTATTCAAATTTAACATTGACTTTTGATGAGTTCAAGTGTCACTGATTTGCAAAATTCAATAAAAAAAGGGTGTAATTTTTTAAAGGTTTTTACGTCAAAGCCAAGTTCTTCTCAAACTGTTTCAGAACAGCAGTCAGTAGAAAGTAGAACCTTTTAAAAAATTTACTATTTAGTTTCGCAGGTTGCATAACAGTCGAATCTATAAAAGAAAAGTTTTCCAAATGCAATGAAATAAAAATGAGTTTTTATAATCATTCGAAATAAGCGAATAAAACTCAAAAATCAATAAATCACCGGCTTGTAATTTACTCAATTTTAAATTACTGATTTCCAACAATATTTTTACACCATTCTTTCTTTTCTGCTCGTTCAGGATTCTTCATCATCGGTTAGAATTTAGAATTTCCAGCAATTAACGCCCTCCCTCGTTTCATATTATATTTATTCATAATTGATTTTCCACCCTGCGGGGCCGGCGGATGAGAGTTTTTGAAAATTCTGCGGAGCTCATTAATTAATTTGGCCGCGTCGCTGTTTTTCGCATGGCCGACGGACCCCGACCGCACCGAAGCTGGAGGTGCAGGATTCGAGATCCAGGCAGGCAGGCAGGCAGGCAGGGGTGCCCCTGCGGATCAATAAGAAGAACCAACTGGCTGCTGACGGTGCCTCTGGCGGCTGCTTGCATTGTCAAATGAGAGAGAGAGAGAGACGAGCACAATGTATATTCGCGTCTTGCAAGAAGAAGCTCTCGGGGAAACTAACTGGCATCAGCTATCAAACTCGCTCGCTCGCTCTCTGCGCGCCTGCCTGTTTTATGTATTTTATACATACACGTTGGTACATATATTCGTGTATGTATGAAACGAACTGCGAGAGAGCGAAGGGCTCCTCCCTACAGAAACGAACGAGCCTCGCAAAGAGGGCCATAATCCGGCTTAGCGCGGCAACCAGGAGGGATGGATGGGAGTTGCAAGGCTTACACAGCAGCTGAGGCAAAATGAGATGAGAGAGAGCGAGGCCTCTATTTCTCTCTTGCAATGCTGCTGCGCTGATGGTTTTGCTTTTTAACAACCAACTGGGACTGCTGCTGCCGCTGGAAATTTATATTATGTATGATGTGTGCAGCAGGAAAGAGCAGACGCCTTTATTTCTCTTTTCTCTCTCCGCCCGTGTTTATCAATATTCACCAAGAATATATTATTATTTTGTGCCCCCGCACCAAACGAAAACCGACGGTCCTGTGAGCTTTTGGACAAATTAATTATTGAAATTGAGAGTATTGACGTATATGCATTGAGAGGACTCGTAGTTCAGACTATGAAATAGAAATTTGCAGATTCAATTTAAATTTCCAGTCAAAAAATATTTAATTTGATTTTATTCACAATTTCTTGAGGTGTTTTTATTTTCAAATAGGAAGTTTTTATTTAATTTTTTAGCATGAAATTATTTTGATAAAATTATTTTTTCAAAATCAGTAAAAACGATGCAAAATTGAAATTCAATTATTTGAAAAGATATTTTAAAGTAATTTAACAACAGCAAACTACTCAAATATAAATTTGAAATGTTAATTTTTGAGATAAATATGATTTAAATTGATTGATTATTTAATTATTGTTGTTTCTGTATCGTTTTTCCGTGAAGACATTGCGTCTTAATTCTGACGACCTTGAGAGAAAATAAATTTTTGGCCATGAACTCTTCATTTCCTTTTAATAATATTGAAAATCGGATTATTGTTGTAATAGACCCTATTATAAAGAGATCAGAACAAATATTGAGGCGCAGTTTTCCATCGTTAAAAATATGGATATTATACATTTTCCTTTCAAAACAAATGCTTAATAAATTGTACTTGGAAATATCCTTCACATTTTTATTTTAAGCACAAAACAAAATCCTTCTCTGCAAATTGAAGAAAAATAAAACATTTTTAACAATTTCATCAATATTAAATTTAAATTGATAAATTTGTCAGTGTCTTTTTTTAAATGATTTCTATGAGATGACATATATTTAGTTTAGTTTTGACAGTAAATTAGGCTTTTTAAAAAAATATATATTTTAAAATTGTTTCCAATTCCAGTGCTTTTTTTACTTTTTACCTTTTTTATTTACTTTTTTTTTTTAAATTTCTAATTTGTTATACATTTTTTAAGACTAATTTTATTGAAAAATTGAGTTTTAATTGGAACTCAGTAGAGCAATACCAAATATTTTGATAGTAAGTAAAAAGTCATCCATGAAAATAGTGTACATTGTGCATTGAAATAATAAACAAAGGCGCAGGAACCGCATTACAGTGCCACTGCGGCGCCTGCTCGATTTGCTATCCAAATTAATCGACCGCACTTAGCGTCGGCCGCGTTTCGTTTTTGCACGAGTGCGCCATCAAAACGACACATTTGCCGGGTAAACAAAGCAGAGCGGTTGTATTATTTATATATGTGCCGCTCCGTTGTGGGAAATCGCACGCTGCGCCTCTCGGGTTGACGAGCAGAGAGAGCGGAGCCGCTGTTTAACCAAGTGTGTGTTGAATGAATAAATCAGACTTATTTACAAACTGATGACTGCGGGATGAGTGCGATGTGTAGGGGGATATAATAAAAGTGCAAAGCGGGCGTGAAGTGCAGAGAGAGAGAGAGACAAAGAAATAAAAATATAAAACGCCAAAAAATATCAATCGGCGCCGCCTGGCCGAGCTCACACGCCGGATATTTTCGTTTCATTCGATTGGAATGAATTAAAGTATCGCACCCTATATGTGACGACTTTTGGCAATTCGGAGGAGGCGTGCAGCGTTGAGTGAGGGTGACGATTTGCGCACCCCTAATATTCATGAGGCGAAAAAACGACGACGAGCGCGGGGGATGATGTTTGTTGCTGTTCACACCCTTCTTTCTCTCTCTCTCTCTTCGCCGTGATTTTCGCCTCTCTCTGTTTGTTTTTTGTTATCTCGGCAGTGCCGCAGGCTGTGCTTTTGGATAATTGTGTGTGCCGAGCTAATGGCCCGGTTTAATTAATTTAACAAAAAATTAATTATTTGCATGTAAAGCAGACGCGGAGTTCAGAATCTTTTGATGTTTTTTTTTTCATTTTCGTCAATTTTTTGACTGATGAAAAAGAATTTTGAGCTCAAATCTTTGTTAAAAAATTTTCTGAAAAAGTCTTTTTTAAAGCAAATAATGAATATTATTATATTCTAAAAATTCTATTCATTGAATTCAATATGTCATATATAGAAGATTAAATACGATTTGTGGATATTCTTTGATTTTATCTTGGTTGTTAACAATACGAAGAATAACCTTTTGATAATATTTGAAGAAAAGCAAGGAAAGAATTTAGTATTTTGGAAAAAAAAAAAGGAAAACAGTCCAAAATTATGTATTTAAAAAAAGGCTTTATCCATCAAAAATTGAAGAAATTATAATTCAAATTATATGTGATTTGCGAATAAAAATCCATAATCAGAATAATTATAAAGTTTAGACCGAATCAGAAGAATCATCAAAGTCCTTTTCACAAGCAAAATTTGAAAGGTGAATGAGGCGCTCCATATATTATACTTTTTTTTCTTCGCCCAACGGATTAAATAAAGTGACAAAAATTTCTCTGTAAAAAAATGGAGCACGGCCGAAATGAAATGCAGCTTGTTCGTCCGCTCTCTGGTACAATAACAACAACTGACGCACCGTAAAGTAATTTTACGGTTACGAAGCCACAGAAAATCTTTAATCTGCATTAATCCGCTCTTTCATTTGGACCTGACGTATACCTCTCTGCATCCACAGATAACAATTACCGGCGGCGTGTCTCTCACATACGTGTGCTCAAACAGCCGGCAGGCGATTTCACTCCTTTCGTAATGTAAGTAAAGTGGCTATACTTTGCTTTAATGTCCAAAAGTTGTGGGAAAAAACGACATGATTTTGAAAATGTGAGGAAAAATGGATTATCGTATTGTGATGAAAATTAATTTTTAATATTGAATAAAGTAAAGATTCAATTTCCGTATTTATTATAATTTTTTTCTCCAAATTTTAAACAACCAGCGCAATTAAATTTCCATAATATTGATCAAATAATAGATAACAATAACATAATAAATATGAATGATTAGTAATTAAATGAAGAAAATCTTATTTTAACCAATCACACTTGTAAAGCTTGTGGTATAACAGAATTATTGTTTCCTATAGAAAAAGACAAACTTATGAATGCAACGGAATAAAATTTATACTTTTTTTTCAAAACTTTCAAGTAGTTAATGCAATATTAGTAAAGAAAAGAGAGAAGTAAAAGCATAACTTTTTAATTACATGAAATAAACGCACAAAATATAATTAAAATACGTACAAAACCATAGATATATTAATAAAATATATTTATAATAAATTTATAAAAATGGTATAAATATTTATTTGGTGTTTTTTTTTAAAGAAAAACTTTTGTTCTATGAGCTGATATATTGAGAATTTAAAATCCTTTTTTATAGTTAATACCCTGATGCCCGCTCCTGTGATATTATTCCTTTTTCCCTCTCGGCGTTTTCTTCTTTTTCCCTTTATCATTATAAATCCTCGCGCCTACGATTTTTCTAACTTTACGTCGTGTCGCCTTTCGGTGATAAAGTGTGTGTGTGTCTTAAGCATTTTATATATTATACAATATTTTCACTCTAATCATAAATAACCGCGCGGCGGTCCGCGCTCAAAAGACGAGCTACCGGACACGAAAACTACACGAATCCATCATGATCGGCCGAACAAATTACTCAACCGCTAATTTAACACTCAATAAAGGGTTATAAGGTTACATTTAATCCGGCGCGCGAAAAGCAGGCCACTCTCTGAAAAGTGTCCGCTCGAGTGCGCATCAAAGTGACAACCAGATTCCCCCTGCACTCGTTAAGATTCCACCGTTTTTCCTCCGCAGCCATTTGTATGTACAGAGAGAGACACAAACATAATATATAACAACTCATCCCAAACGTGACAATCCCCGCGCTTGTTTGGGATGAGAGAGAAAAAATTCGATGTACCTGCGGTTTTTGTTGGGATTAACCATCTCTCTCTCGCGCGCCGCAAGTGCAGATGTTTTTCCCAGAATACACCACTTTTGTAGTGTCCCTTTTTCTGAGAATTGTTGTCAAATTGAGTTATCTCTGCATCCATTGAAATCAGTCAAGAGGAGAAACCTCCGATCTCAATCAACTTTCAGCACCCGGCGCGCTTTTTCCCAAAATCTCATTCCGAGATTAATGCTAATTTAAGCCGATTTATCGAGGTACTTACACTGTCCGTAGCCGGGGCCAGCCAGGGAGCCGAGGTGGTCCGGCGAGCCCCCGAGGCGCGGCACGCCGTGGTGCATGGCCGAGCTGGACGCGTGGTGCATCGGGCCGAATGGAAAGCCCTGCAGGAAGTGGTTCGGCTGGAATTGGGGGTGATGGGGGTCCTTGAGGTACGCCATCATGGACTAGGTGCACGAAAAGTCGCAGAGCACAATTTGATCTGGGGAAAAAACGAGTAAAATTGAAATTTAGTACTGAATTTTGTAAGATTATTAGTAAAAAGTAAAAATTGTGTTAAATTATATTTTTTTTTTCAAATAATCAAAAATTATTGGAACAAGTTATCTAGAAAATTTGAATTTAAAGGAAAATTTTAGTATTAACAATTGTGTTTAATTAAAGATTTATCTATAACTTTATGGACCCCACGTTTTTTACTAGATCATTAAACATTTTAAGGACTCCTTCTTAAAATTCAAGTTTTTTAATTCTGAAGGACTTCAGCATTAAAAAACCTGAATTTTAAGATTGTAAATCAATACAATTTTTTGTCTCCTAGGCAGAAATCTAATTAATTTCTTATTATGTTCTTTAATTCTAGCGAGAACTGAAATATTTGAAGGCTTCAAAAATTAAAAAATTTATTTAATTTACAATAATTATTAAGTATCTATAGCTTAAGAATTGAAACAAAATGAGTTTAAAGATTTTTATTTGAAAAGTTTCTTCCTAATTAAATTCAATAAGAATTTTTATCCAAAAAGAATGAATTTTGAAACATTTTATGGTTTTTATCGTTTTTATTTGCTCTTCATTCTTTGTGATTATATTTCAACATTTCATATATATTTTTTTCCTTTAATAGAATCGAAACTCATTCAAGCAGATCTGACGGAGCGATTGAGAAATGCGTTCTCTCTTTTTTTTTCATTCTGCTCTCCCAATATGAAAGTCATTCACTCGAAGTGAAACTTTTGTCCTTGCGTGGTGAAGGAAACAAAAGGCGGCAGCAGCCATCGCGCATATGTACATGTAGCATTTTTCATTATTTACATTTTCTCTCGTCGCGCATATTTAAGCGGCGGGCGGCAGATAAATCTCTTTGACATGGCAGCAAGAGTCGCTGCGGAGCCAAAATAGACGCGCTCTTAAGGTGTGTTTGTCAATGTGACTGCTCTGCGAGAACAAAAGGCCACCTCCTTTGAGGATGGACCACTCGCTCGTGTTCCAGGCCACTCCCTTTTCCGATCATTGTTTTACTGTTACTGATAAAAAGCTCTGGCGGCCGACGAGATTTCGTTGTTCGAGAAGGAAATTTCAAAGCCGCGTCAGGTACCATGTCAATGTATAAAAAGAAATCAACCGACCGACCGGCGCCGGGGAGATCTCGAAGAAATTGCTTCCCAAGTGGGGATTTGCTACAAAGTTCGCAATCTGCAGACTGCGCTGGGGAGAAGTTCGAACGCAAAAGTTTAGTTGGCAAAGTGTCTTGTTAAACTGATACTCTCTCGGTTCTTCCACAATTAATAATTTACAACTGAAGTTTCAATAGATAAATTATATCTGTTTTTCTATAATATTATCGGTGTATTGGAAGAACTGAACATCAATAATGAATCCTGATTGAAGTTTTTTAATACGTGCAAAAAATTAGACAATTTTTTTTCATAAGTACAATTATTAAAATTTTGAACTCAAGAGTAAATCATCAGATTTTAATGAATATAGACTTCTAAAAGGAAAAAATTGATGGTTATATGATGTTTTAAAAAGGACTTGGAAAACTGGAATTTTCTCAATTCCTAGCATGGCCGACTAGTTTGTCCTCATATCAATTTTTGAGAAGCACAGTGGATTTGAATATTTAAATATGAATTTATAAAAAAGGATTTTCAAAGACATTTCATTTCTTATAGTAAACCCTGCCCAAATTTCGTACGTACAAAGAAATTTAATCCGATTTTGACAATTAATTTTAAAAAAAAGTTGAAAATTTACAATTTATTTTATTTTTACTGGCTCATTAAATTCTCATTACAAATAAAGTGTGTGACTATAAATTTTGAGTGACGAAAGTGAGTTGTTATTTGTGCGCCTTATGCACTATACCGTGTATATTTATCGTGCATTTCACATGCAGGTGATAATTATAGGAGGGAGCAAACAGTCACCAGTCGGTCGGTCGGTTTGGCTACGCGAGAGGGTACATAATCCGCACAGCAGCCCCCATATGCATGAACCGAGTTCAAATATATAGACGCATATGCAGGGGCGGGAAGTGATTATCGCAAGACATTAAACCCGCATTAATTGGTGCGCCGCGACGTCTGCAGCTTATTATTGGCACGTGTCTCTTCCCCGGATTGTTATATTCGTCTCGGTAATGAGCAACAAAATATTTACGCACGCGTTTTAATGCCCAATTAGCCATATTATGTAGTTAAGCAAACAATCCGCGGTCTGAGAAAAGATTTTTATTTAGTGAGATTAAACTTGATAAGCTTTAATGAGCAGAATAATTGGAAATTATTGGCAAATTCAGAGGATATACAGTAAGAATTTAGCAATAATTGAAATGAAAAAATTAGAATTCATCAGTACCGTTTAATCCTTTAAAAAATTAACTCAAATTGAATTTTACTCAATAAAAACGCTTTGATTTGTTCAGTAATTGAGGAAAACACACGAATTAAAGTAAAAAATATTTTAAATTTTAACATGTATTTAATATTTTTATAAAAATCAATTTAATAATCAGGTAAATTATCATATTTCCCATACAATGAGATTTTATAATTGTGACGAAGTTTTCAAACTTGTATAACAACTTTTTTGAAGAGGTCAAGAAACTAAAATCCTGCCTGCAAAACACATTTCCAGGTGGATAAGCCCGCGCGAGTTGGAAAATAGACACACATTCTGCCAAATGAAGTAAATAGCCGGCTGGAGGATACAATTTCACACTTGGATTCACTCTCAGGCATATTTACTCGCTGCTGTATCGATCGCATTGTGTGTTTTGACACTCGCCCCGTATGTGGTCTCGCATGCAGCTGAAGTCAGGGTGAAAAGAAGAAAAAGCTGCAGGTGTTGGCCCTGGAGGTGCGCGTCGGAATAATTGCTGGGCAGTTTCTCATTCTTGTGGTGGAACGCATTGTGTCCGCGCGATACATTTGTAAAGAAAAAGATCCTGAGAAAAAAAGAAGAAACTTGTTGTGTTGGAAAATTTGCCACACGCAGCAAGGGGAGAGAGAATTTTCAGAAGAGAGCTACAGGGACGATGCGAACTTGGAATAAATACACAAAAGTGGAAAATAGATGTGTTGACACGGCTTGAAAAGAGATTTCACGCCCAGAGGTGGCAATTAGGTGACAATATAAGAGGAAAAGAAGAAGAGGATCACCAATATTTTTTGCTTTGGTGACTTTTGAAGATGGGAATAAAATTTGACAGACAGGAATTAAGTGGACCACTGAGTAAGTGACAAGTTGACCACGGAGAATAAACCCCTTTAAATGTGCTTAAAGAGGGGCATTGTGAATTTTGAAAGAAGACGAGGAGCAAATTTTAAATCCAGGAAATAAACAAAGACTTGAATGATAAATATAAAAAAATCAAAAAATCTATTTATTTTTAATTGAAAATATCATTCGTTGAAGATTTCGAGGTGCCGAAAAAAAAACGTGCAAAGAAAATAACTGGATTTTTTTTCAATTTAGAATTTCTCGGAAATCGCACTTGACGAGAAAAGCAGCCTTTCGAGTTTAATATATAAAATTTGGAGGTTGAGAACTTTGAGGCACCGGAGTGAGATTCGCAGCATCCGAAGGCAGCAGTTGAACTCGAGAGCATCTCTGGGGGGCGGGGTCTGCACGTCCAATGAAATCGTGGTCGGGATGCGTGCGCGCGATTGGTCTCGGAGCTTGATATCAAAAATTCCGGAGGGGTGCGGTACAAGCCGAGTGCGCGCAGCACGACACGAATTGAGACATTAAACATATAAATAACGAGAGGGTAAATGTACATGGCCAGTACATGCACCAACCAGAGCAATAATAAATATTAAACGAGCGAAACATTAAATATTTACACGGCAAAAAAGCGCCGCGCCACCAGCAGATATTGCTTTCCGAATCAATACACGCGAATTTGAACTGAGAGCGAGTGCGAAAATCGATAGAAAAAAAGAGTCGCGCCGCCGCGTGATGTATGCAACCGGGAGCTGCACCAGCGCCCAAATGTTTGCATAACTTTCACTCCGGCAGGGGTGCGGAGGAGCGTCGAACTTTTGTTTCCAAGAGAGAGAAAAAGGGACCAGAAAGTTTTGGAGTTTGAGAATTTTTAAAGCTTTTGAACGTGCTTTCGCAAAATACAAAGTTTTTATAATCCTAAAATATAAATTAAAGGTTTTTGCAAAAGGCGAAAACAATTGTTTTAATTTTAGTTCTCTATGAATCAAAAAATATAGAAAATCCTCTTTTCTAGATATTATTGTTTTTAATGTGTCCACATTTTTACAATATTTTGTTTACACTCAGCTGTTGAAAACAATTTATTAAAAAAAAGAAATTGTTTGCCCAAACGGCACTAGCCAGAATTTTGCTAAAACTTCCTACTCTTCCAAGATCCGTCAAAGTGAGCTTTGGTTGACTAATATACATACACTTTTGGCTGCAAAGGAAGAATTTTTTTAAATTTAATGGATTTTAATTTATATGTCATAGAAAACTCTAGCCCACATTTAACTAAAGAGAATGGAAATTTTGTTTCCTGATAATTTTGGCTATACTTCCGTTGTTTATATTAAATTATAAAAGGTAATAAAACTAATTTTGTACGTTTGATATCTTCTATAATATCAGGTGTTAATAAGAAAATAAAATATTATTACCAAATAAAACAATTATTAAAAGTTCTATTTAATAAAAACGTTTTATAATATGTATAATTATAATTAATTTAATATTAACTATAAAGTAATTGTATTCTAAATTTATGGCAAAAGTATGACTTAGCAAAGTGCAATTAAGAAAAAAAACAGGAAGTATTTAAAATTATAGCTATTTTCGGCTTTCCTTTATTCTCTAGATCTATTTTATCCTTTATTTCATGTCACACACCTTTGTGATTAATCTTTCAAATTATTTTCAGTTTTAGATATTTTACAAAATAAATCTTATAAAATACAATAAATCAAAATCATTTTGCTAAAAATGTTG